CTCAATTTATTTATCATTCTACTTCAAGACATAATTTGTCAGATTATTCAAATATTTCCGAATTTCAGCATCCATCAAATAGATTAATTGATGAGTGGAAAGTTTATTGTGAAATGGATGAAACTTTTGATATTAATAACGAATTTAGTTTGGTCTTAGAAAATTATTGGAAAGATAAATTATATACATTACCTATTCTTTCTAAAATTGCATTAATTTATATCTGGATTCCTGTTTCTGGAGTAGATGTAGAACGATCATTTTCAAATTATAAGCATATTCTAGATGACAAACGTAGAGCTCTTACAGAAAAAAATATAGCCAAGTTAAATTTTTTGTATTTTAATAGATGTATTATCAATGAACTTGATAATGATAATATAGACGAATATAATAGTGATGAATAATTATAGGTTAGAACTGATTAATTTTAATTATATAATTTTTTTTAAAAAAAAATAAGTACTGACATCGAAGTTTTGCTTTCTAGTCTGTTACTATTTACTATATAAATTTTGGAATTTTTATATAAATAAAACTTTTATATATATTGCAAACTATTGATATAATGTAAATATCAACGTTAATAAAACATAGATGTTCTTTTCGTTGTTTTTAGACTTTACTAAAATTCTATCGCCATTATTTTAGTTATACGTATTAAAATCAAAATAAATATATTATTTACAAGTTAGACTTGTTGATAAACATCAACTTTATTAACTATCATTTGTGTGAAAATAACGCTACGTATGAATCAAAAAATTCGGATCATCGCTATTTTGCTATTTTTGCTATTTTTGCTAGCTATTTTTGCTAGCTATTTCGACTATTAATAGCTGGACACTCTGGTACAGTTTAAATTTTTTTACTGTTCATTATCAAAAATTTTTTGTGAACAGTAAAAAAAAAAAAATAATTGTGTTCTCGTAGCTTAAGTTATGTTAAATTATTTTTAACTTTATAAAATTTATATTCTTTTTTAGAAAACACATATCAATTACTTGAGAACGCTATAAACTATTATTATGGTCTACATGAGAACAAGATTAGAATCTCAAATTTCGAACACTGCTC